AATACCAGCTGGTAAGCATCTGATTAGCAGTGGCTTCATTTTTCAGCATGACAGTGATTCCAAACGGTTCCAGTGAAGGAAAAACATGCAGGATTTAAAAAACAGAAAACAAAACAAAACCACACACACAGTGGAACATTATCATCCTAAGAGCCTGAACCACAAGATTACTGAAGCAGCGTGGGAATGTGAAGGCCCTTCAGGAGGTCTGGAGAACTATTCTTAAGACAATTTAAAGAAATTACAAGAAAGTTGCCTAAGAGAGTTCATGCTGTGTTGAAGAATTAGGGTAGTCATACAAAATTTCAGCTTTAAAGTTCATTAGAACTGTTCAAACTCTGTTGTTACCTTTTATGCTGTATCCTACAATGTATCTATCGTTGTGGAGGACTATAAATACCTTGGAGTACACATTGACAATAAACTGGACTGGGCTACAAACACCACAGCACTTTACAGCAAGGGCCAGAGTCGTCTCTATTTTTTGAGGCGACTGAGGTCCTTCAATATCTGCCAGAAAATGCTTTGGATTTTCTATGATTCTGTTGTGGCCAGTGCGATCCTCTATGCTGTTGCATGCTGGGGGAGCAGGCTGAGGGTCGCAGATGCCAACAGACTCGATAAACTGATCCGTAAGGCCAGTAATGTTGTGGGGATGGAGCTGGACTCCCTTAAGGTGGTGTCGGAGAGGCGGATGCTGTCCAAGATAAAGACAATGTTGGATAACACCTCCCACCCACTCCATGACATGCTGGTCAGTCACAGGAGCACGTTCAGTGAGAGACTGAGAGTACCGAAAAGCACCACTGAACGACACAGGAAATCATTCCTGCCTGTACAGCTCCTCCATCTAACACACTGTTTACTGCTACAGCTACACCCTTCTTGCACATGCTCTTCCTTTTTCAGCTATTTATTAATAAGTGACTTTTATGTATATATTTGCATGTATATATTGTGCTATTCTTAGTTAGTGTATTGTCTGTCTTTGTTAATGTTTGTTTATAATGGATCACTGTAATGAAAAATAATTTCCCCTAGGGATCAATAAAGTATTCTGATTCTGATTCATGTATGTTTGCATATTTCAGGACTTTCACATTCGGTGAGATTTTTAACAGGTTCTAATCCACCGGTAAAATAATTTTTATCATATATATTCATATGTAAAACATATATGTGGTTAATGCGTAAAAACTGAACCCAGAACTATATAAAATCTAACTCCTACTGATGCAAATGATGTGCAGCACTTTAACAACCCTGCCAACCCCCCAAAAAGCCTTTACCATATAAACATAGGTAAGTATTTACCTATGAAATGGAAGAAAACATACATTTGCCTTCAGCAGCTGAAATACATCATCTGCTTCATTCTTTTCTTTTTGCAAAAGATGAAAAAGACACATTCAAAGCCAAGGACACCTCCGTGGAATGAGTAACTTAAAATTTCTCACAGTGAACTGAAACTCGCTGATTACGCCTCTAAAGCTTTATTGTGCTCAATGGCAGATAACCTTGGTGGCAGAAATTCACTCAACAACACTCATTACTGACAAGTGAAAGGAACAGAACATCTGTTATTACTTTTAATCAAGTTTCAAGAGTGTGCTGGACTTTTTCATTTCAAACAAAAAAAGCTAGAGAAGGAGATAGTGGGTTTTAATCGCATTTGTCGCAAACAAAACTCTGTGTCTTCAAGAGTTACACAAACACAACAATAATCAAATTTTCCTTTTTCTTCATTTGAGCTGCAAATTAACTGCTGCACTAACGGCATTAACACCATTCAGTGCGCAAGATGATCTAAATGACATTGATGTTGTGTGTGTTTGTGTGTGAGTGTGTAGCTTCAAAGAACACAAACAAAAACACACTAGACTAGAGTCTAACAGAAAATATCCTTTTGTTCTGTATAAATGCTGTTGCTCAGTTGTGTCAGAGTCCAGCTGAAAATCCTATCATTTTTTGGGACGTATCTACCTGAAAGGGAACTCACACAGACTAACGCACGCAGATATGAACACCCCACAAAAAAGCTGACTAATCATGAGCCAACTTCATCTGCAAAAACATTTCCCAAGGGATCCACCAACTTCAGCACTTGGCTACACAAATACATGCACACGTAAAATCTTTACATTTATAAAGAGACACCTACAGCGTCACACTCCTAAAGACAAACATGCAAAGACCAAGACAAACATTGTTGAATAAATTTGACAACCTTGAGTCTGTTTAGAAGGACAGCTACTTTGCTCAATTACCTACAAAATACCTTTAATCTTATCCATGTGCAAGTCCATTATCTGTAAGTCACATTGGTGCACTGACAGAGTCAAGCTTCTGAATACAACCAGCACACAATTAATATAGTCTCCACTTAGACTGATTATTAAACCAAAGAGAAAAACAAAACAATATGAAGTCACGTAGAATTGATTTCTTAAGTCTCTGGGAGTGTATTAGAGAAACAAACAAACACATTTCAATATATGGTTTTTGGATAACGATCCCGTCATTCTTAATTTAAAACTATGAGCAATTTGGACGTACATAACTCACAGCATTAGGACATTAACAGTCCTCGGTGTCGACAAAAAAGTAAATAGCCACAATGACTTTTTGCGTGTCAGTTCGTGGGAATGTTCATTAACATGTTGGCCCAAAACTCCCTGGATAAGTATAAGTATTACCATCCTGGAAAAGACTATTTCCCAAAGCATAACACACACCACTAGATCTCCTCACTGTAGTGATCAAGAGTTCGGGTTTATTAAAATTTGTTCCCTGTTACGAATAAATCTTTTGCAATTATTACCTAAACAAACAGCTGACTGACAGTGGTCACTTATGGGGAGCATTGGCAATATATGGTTGGATATAGGACCAGGCTAAGCTTAGAACAGGAGAGCGACACTCTATGTCTGCAAGACAAGTGTTCAGGATGAGGGCTGAGATGGTGCAGCTGTGCAAGAAGTTAAATGGCTATTATCGGCAAAACTCTGCTTCTGTCTGAAAAGAATTGAGACAGATCACAAGCTGCAAGCTTAAAGCCTCACATTCCACTAACAGCTTGCACCCAGCCGAAGACCTGAAAGATGGGACGTGCCTGACACGTTCCCCTCTAAACCATCCATCAGCGCTAGCCCACCAGCTCTACCTTTCCCACTAAAACAGGTCGTGGGCCTCTCCACAGCTGCCTACCACACAGCAGTCCTCTCCTCCCCTAACACATGGTTGTCTCTTTCCTGGAGAGAAAGAGACATCTTTTCCTGGAGAGAGATGTTAACAGACTCTTCAAGAGACAAACCCCCACAAAGCAGCTGGGCCCGACTCCATGTCTCCATCCAACTTAAAGAGGTCTTTATACCTTACTAGAGACAATCCATGTGTCAACCTGTTTCAAGGCCTGCACAATTGTTTCCCCCCCCCCAAAAAAAAACAAACAAACAAACAAACCAAACAAACAAACAAAACAAAAAAAAAAACAGAGACCACAGGACATGATGACTACCAACCCATTAAAATACAATGTGACCCTACACTTCATTGTTCAGCACCTTCACCCGGTGGATCCACGCCAGGGTCCTGTCCGTGGAGTTCAGCTCAGTTTTTAATTACCATCATCCTGCTCCACTGCATAACAAGCTGTCCCTGCTGAGTGTGCCTGACACCACAGAGCACATGAAGCTGGGAAAACACAGATCATCACAGGTTCCTCCTAAGGTGGCGTTCTTTCCTCTCTACTAGTGATGTGAGCACCAGAATTAATGTGTGGGTGGGAATCTAAATATTACCATTTTGATTAAAAGCAGATGGGTTGAAGGTGACTGAAATATTACAGCACTAATGAGAAAAATAATAAAGATTAATGATGATAATAATAATGATTCTCTTTATTGTTGTCAGGCACAAATTAGCAGAATAAGTTGTCACTGTGCCAATTCTGGGGTCCATTTGTATTTATTTAAAGCATGCCTGCTTCAGTGTAATGCTACAAAATTGTTTCACATAACTCACATGTAACTGACTAAATTGAAAATAACTAGTTTCCTTGTTTGGCTAGCTGGGAGATGATTAATGGGATGCAGGTAATGCATCACTACCCTCTGCTCTACACAGCTGCACCTTTACAACTGCAGGGTCACCAGTCTGCTCCTGAATGCTAAAGCTCGTGAAGTTTGAAGATGACCTGGTTTAGAGCTCAGTGCTCATCATGGACATAGTTGCAGATTTCAAGAACTTCCCAACTGTCCCCATCATTCTGCATGAATCCACAGTTGTCCCCCAGCTTCCTGGGACCATCGCCACCCAGGGATTTATGAAGAGCTAAAGATCAGCTCCCTGTCACGCTCTCAGATTTAATTCATGCAACAACAGAAGAAGTTTAACCTGCTGGAAAAAAATGTCTACAGAATAAGTCCAAGACCATTTTTCACCTCCTTTGGCACCACAACATTGCCAATACCAAGGACAAAGGCAGACTCCAGTGCATCATTCTGCTTAGAAGGTAATTAGGTGGAATCTGTCATCGCTTCGGGATTTGCACACTTTCAGGACCGCAAGGCAGATGGGAAAGATCAGGGCTGATCCACCCCACCATGGATGCAAATGTTTCTCCTCTGCCTAAATAACTTTTTTCTTTCTGCACCTGGTCCCCCTCCTCCCTCATACACACCTGCACACCTATAATAACACACATTTCTTCTAGACTTAAATCCTTGCACTCTGCACGGTTTCTTACACTTAACACTGTGAACATTTGCACATTTCATTTTTTTTGTGCATCCTATTGCATCCACTGCAATATTTTAAATAAATATTAACAGTATGCTTGAACAATGTCAAATCAGCTAACTCCACAAATACATTATTTTGTCTGTACTTGCTGTACTTCTATGATAACAGGATATAAGGTTATCTAAAGTATACTTTACTTTTCTGTAAATCATGAACACACCACAAAAGCACCTGTACTTATTTTCAATGACACCTACCTTCTTGTAGAGAGAGCGCAGGTCTCTGTACTGCCACATACTGCTGAGGACTTGAGAAGCTGCCTTTACCACCTTTGCTGAGTGTCTGCATAGAGACAGAGAGAGAAGGATTATTTCAAATTGACCTCACATCATAGTCATGCTGTCCCTTATTTTTTACCAGCTGCACAAAAAGTGTGCAGGCCAGGAGCACTTGTGAAAGCTTTAAGAATAAGAACGCCATTGCTCTTTTCAACAGAGAAAAAGTTTCATTGCACGCAAACAGTTTTCAGATGAGTTTGAAATGACCCACTCTACCATGCTAATGGTCCCACCTCTGCCACTCAGATGACAAATGACTCTAGTCAGAGTCAGTTCATAAGGCCTGCCCTCCTAATGGCTCCAGCGGGAAGCAGAAGGATGTTCATTTTCAATTTGCCCAAAACAAAAATCGTTGTCAAAACAAGCTTCACTCTGAGTTTTACAATTTCACACTAAAAAGAGCAAGAAGAGTTTGGACGACTGAACAATGTAGTAATGGTATCACCAGTAAACCACTGCATTAGCATTAGTTACACATGACTACAGTGATTCCCAGGAAACAGCTTGCAGAACCTCGATGTTAGATCATGAAAAAAATATTTAAATTCCAGTGGTTTTTTTGTTTTGTTTTTTTTACAGCAAAGAGTCTTCAGCGAACGCTGGGAGTACTGGTATTTAAACAGCATCGTAAAATGATTTTGATCATTACTAGATTACGATTACACAGCCGACATTTTGACATGTAAGAGCAGGAAAAGCACAGGTTTATTAAAAGTCGCTGCAAGATGCAACATGCAAATCTTCAGAAAATGAAAATGAAATTTGGGGACTGCAAAAATCATGTTGCTATTTGTTTGACATGTTGGTTTTAACCCAGCATTTATCGACGTTTTTGGAATAGTTGGGAGTTGTTTCTGTTTATAAACAGCCATTAAGTGCTTCTTACAGTTGTAGTGTAAAGGGTATTTTTCCCAATCCAGTGTGTAATTGTATGATTGGTACTGCTGATAATTAACATTTATTCTCAGCTTACCTTCCCCAGGAAAATAAAGATATGTTGGCTATTAGCAGATAACTACACTCACCATGAAATTTGCATTTGTGGAGGTTTCTTTCAGTACCTCATCCCTCTTGGGAATGTGCCCTTGAGCACAGTTCCCTAAACAGGCCGAGTCCCTTACCATAACAATAAATCATCCTTTGACCTCCGTCTGATAACGTTCTGGTGTCATAGCAACTCCTGACCTACTGGTTGCCATAGCAGCTACGCAGAACACCCTGCCCAGTCTCCCATGGAAATATATATTGGCTGCATCTTGCTTGTTGTTCTCCAGCTGTCTTTTTTGCAGATGAAGGGTGATAGGGAAGGCGGACGCAGTTATGTATGAATGATGGATGTGTAGCCACATTAAAGCGCTGGTTGTTAATGACAACCTAAATTGAATCATGACTGAATGATGTTGTGACAGGTAACAATAAAATACTGAGGCCTTCTTGGATTTAAGCTACTTGTTATTAAGATCTAGTTGTGTTAATCTGAGGAAAAAAATGAATGCAGAGCAATCGAAATCTTTTACTTTTGCATGTTTTGATGACAGTATTCAAATTTTAGATATTAATATTAACATTAGAACAAATCAAACAATGTACCATGTTATAGAAAAAATATTTACAGTATTGTTTTCTTCCATGTGATAAACCATTTCAAGAAAACTACTGTAATGCATTTTAAATCAAGCATCTACCAAAGGATGAAGTATTAATGGTAGTATTTGTCATATACTGTGTGTTTGTTTTCTTTGAACAGTCTACCTTGCATAATTCAGTTAGTTTTCACTTTTTGGTTATTCTCCTTTCTTGTGCTTGAAGAAAAACTGTGTTTTGCCAGTGTCTAAATCCCGAGATGTCTAAAGCACAGCATCATCTTCTGCCAAAGGTTCGAAAGATTCACTTCTGCGGTGGAAGAAGCAGAGGCAGAAGAGTCTTTAACCTCCTGAGATCCTTAGTTTTGATATGGGGACATTACATTTGGGCTTTTCTGCAATTCACATGTCATTCTGCACAATACAGTCTAATATACTTATGTTACAGCAAGTTTATTGCTATTATAGTTTGTTTCATTTTGTGAAACTCCTGTATCGTTTTATGATGTTTGTATTGTTAATGGAAATAAAATGTTAGTTAGCCTGTACAGGGGCATGGCTGTGACTGGTGTGGCATCGCTACAGCCTCGAGGCCACGTCCTATATGGGGAGCAAAGATGGGCAGTAACGCGTTACTTGTAAACATGTAACTGATTACGTTTTTCAAGTAATGAGTAAAGTAAGG